TGATAGGCAAAAACAAAAATGTCAACTCTGCAGTGTCATAATGGTGTTCTTCTGTAACCTCACTACAAAGGCCACAATAATCATGTCAAATGGGCACACCGCCTTGATGAGGTCACTCTTCCCATGTCTGTTTCATAGCAACAAAGTCCACCCCAATCAATAAGTAGTTCACTTGAACCTATTGCTTCTTCTCTACCGCAGCAATTGGCTCCTGCAATAGGGACTTAATTCAGAATTCAAAGGCAGTGGAAGAATAACATCAAACTTCTAAACTCTACATGGAGCTTTAAAGGTGACGTTTGGAAGGATAACAGTTGTCTGCTGACTAATCAGGTCAAAGGATCATAGAGCGACAGCCATCTATATAATACGTAATTTGCAATTTAATCCCAATACATGCTGCTGTTTAAAACCTCCCCGCTACAAAATTGTAAAAAAACATGGCCTGATGTAACTGAATAATACTGCAAATGAACGGAATCTCGCTCCAAATTGAGAATTATGTGAACAGAGATGCTGATCTTACACTCAAAAGTAGCCCAGCGAGAGGGAGGCACAAGTGTGCGATTCTGTTTCACATCTGAGACATAGAGCAAACCAAAGAGATCTTGTTCAGTACCAACATTATTTACAGAAGCAGTGTTTTCATTAACAAGCCCGTCTGTGGTGGGTGAAACCATGAGTTCTGTAATGTCCAAAGAACCCTGTTCGTAAATAAACAATGTATGAGATTCTGACGTCAAAACCTCCAAATAGATTACATGAAAATTGAAACTAAGAAGCAGGAAAAAAACAAAAAACTAATCAGATTAACAGAATTGGAATCTAAATTAAGCAATCTGCATTATATGGAAACCTACTGAATGTAATTTGATATACAGCGCCTTAACAATTGAATTATTCTCAGTTAGCAGCACTAATGGCTGATGGTAGTAGTAATGACAGCCAATATATTTATAAAAAAAAAAAAAAAGTTCTAGAATTATTAGGCTTTATTAAAATGCTATAATCAAGTTCAAGTTGCTTCCTGTTGCTGCTTTTAAACTCTTAAGTGTTTACGGAGTACCATTTCCATTAATCAATTGGTTTTCATCTTTTTAGCCAATTCAACTCACAACCCCTGCTTTTTAGCTTTTGCTTACGGTCATCCTGTGGCTAATCTACACCTGTCTCGATCCCTTAAGAAGCTATGACTTCTTTCAGTTCTAGTTGCCCATTAAATCTTCAATTTTCTGGTCCTAGCAGCACAAGTTTCTTATATAGCTCTATTCCATTGTTCTTGTCTTGTTTCTGTTCAATGCTTTTTCCCCATAGCCTGAAGCGAGCAGTGAAAGCCAATTGATGCTTTAGTGGGGTGCAAACTCCACCCCGAGTTGAAAACTCATTTATGGTGTGGTTTGTGTGGATTATACATTTTGGCCAACATAAATTACTCTAAAAGTTGAAGAAATTCCATAGAATGTGGGATACAAATTAAAAAACTTGGTATTACCGTACGAGGTCTTGCAGCAAGACCAATTTGTGACATATGCTTGCTGAACATTTCTTCCTCCAGCGAATATTTTCTAGCTTTCCTTGGCATGCCATTTCTAGTGCCCGCCGCGGATTTATCCGTGATCGAGCTCTTTTCACCTACTGCATGAATTGGTTGAGTTGCTTTCGGCGAACTCCACTTTTTTTCTTGATATCTAAATACTACAGTGGATTAGCTGCAAACAGCATGGAGATTGGGGGCCAAAAAAAGAAGAGCAAGTTTGTTTCTAAAACCGCAGAAGAGGTTCAGAAGAGAAGTTACTTGGCACGGATAAACTTTTCCATATTGCTTCTATCAACGTTAAGTGGCAACTCTGCCTCCCAATAACTGTTAGCTTTTTGGTTGCCCATTGCTAGACAGAAAGTCATGATTATAGAGCAATTAGTAAGCCTATAAAGCAATTACAACTTCAAAGAAACTGCAATTTATCCATGGAAACATCAAAATCACAACAGCATATACTTGTGAAAAATGACAAAATCGAATTATTGACACCAGTTCCACTCCTTTTCATGGAGACGGTTAGAAGGCATGGAGAAGATGAATAGCCAAGTCCATGGTGCCAGTCCTCTATTTGAGCTAACAGTGAAAAAAAGGGCTGTTTCTTCTTTCCTTGCTTCTAGACTTACAATCCAATGCGCACTTGAACAGACAGGATTGAGGCCCCAAAATTTCACCAGAAATCTTTGTAAACATACGCTAATATATGGAAAATTTATTATTTGATAATGGATCAAAAATATCTAGCTCAAACAGAAATCTGCAATCAATCAAAAGTTCTTTTAGATGCTTTAATGCATATAAGATGTGAAGCACTAAGAACAAAACAGATTACACAGCTTTAAATAACACAAATTGATAAAAGCTGCTGTTATCAACTTATGGAAAGACATGAAGAAAGAGTGCCAAAACTTGCAAAATGATTTGTAAAAGATGGAGAGACATACATTGCATAAATGCAACCTGCTCGGGTAGCCACGTATCTAAAGTTGTAGACCTCACCTATTTTGTCAAAAAAAAAACACACTTAGTAAGGGAACAAAGATAGGACTGAGGAGATAGTTAGCACAAAGATGGATATCACAAAGGATAATGCACACCATAAAGCAACACAGGTGAGTTTTACTACAACTTCATGTTCTACTGACTAGACAAACAGACGAATGACTACAAGTTTCTGAGTTTTACTAATGTCTTGAGCTGTTGCATGAATCTCACAAATTGACAGTGCATGAACCTTCTAAAGTGACTCTTACTTCATGCATTGTAAATTGAATATACAAATAACAAAAATGTAACCTTTGATATATGTACTCCAAGACTCCGATGAATTCCTGAACATTGCATACATATGAATATCCCGAGGTTGACGCTTGCCCATCGTGGTGCCCTGCAACCACACAAATCGCTTCACTAAGAACTTTGTGGACTCAATCTACATGAGACTTAGTTAAGACAGCACAGCTTAAACTAAACTAAGAACACAGAATCCACAAGCACAAAAAACTGTTAAACATTGCTTCAAGAAGGTAAATGATACAACAACAACAAAAAAATATGCATTAATTGCTTCTTAGACTTATCAATATAGTACACAGCAAGTATATATCATGCAACGCATCTAACATTAGTTCCTGAATCCATACTTGCTCCGACAATCTGCGCACTCCCGATTCTCTGGCAGCTTTAGGAGGCCCTCCAATATCTGCAAACATTGCATTCATGCATCAATAAATATAATTTCCTGAAAATCATTTCTTCAACAGTGGATAAAAAGTTGCATAAGTAGCAGCTGGCCACTTTTTTAAGTTGACAAAACCTCTGTCCTCACCATTTTACCAATTAGAAAATATCTGTTAAAAAAAGAAATGGTGAGAACACAGAGGCGATCAACCTTTGGAAAAGCAGCAAGCTATTATTATAGCTAACTTTTTGTGAATCCTTCTTAGTAGGAAATATACTCGTTTACCATCTGTTTTAGTTCTCCTTGGCCACAATATTACATCCAAAATCAAGAAAAGAAAAAGATTAAACCCCCGTGCAAAGAGGTCTCAGCTTGATCAATGCAGATAAAATGACATAGAAAATGAACCAAAACGGAAAGGGTGTCACCTTGGCATGTTTAGCATTGAGTTCTTTCGAAACTCCAGCCTTCTCATTCATATCTATTGCTGCTGGTTCTTTATTTTTCTTTTTTTGGTGAATTATCACTACCAGAAATAAAACCAAAAATAGAAGAAAAGAAAAAGGCTACTGCTCAGAAGGGGGGAGGGAGAGAGAGAGAGGAGGATTTCTCTCTCAGTCTGTCTTCTGAGTTTCTTTCTCATAAAAAAGTGTGTGAAATTGCGCGTTACCTTTGATGGCCCTTGAAGGGAACCGAGTATGTTGGGCGGCTCAACATATTCAAAGGAGAAAACAGTTATAATACTCCTTGAAAGTCGGTTACCCTGCCAACGGCCAAATGGACTTTTAGTTCTTCTCCCTCTCTCTCTTTTCTTCTTTTTTTTTTTTTTTCTTTTTCTCTTTTTTTGGGGTTTTACATTTTCCCTCTCTAAACATTAAATACTCGAAGTTGCCTATGTATCTCCTTTTCCCCTATTATGGTGACGAGTTCAGAAAAAATGTTCTTGAAAGTGATTTAACTAATGGCCTAATGCTCTTTAGTATTTTGAGTTTGTAGTTGCAGCTCAGTAGTTGTAGTAATGGCCTAATGCTCTGTAGTTGTAGTATTCCCTTAATGCTTCTGATCAGTGGTTTTAACTTTTTGGAGTTGGCTAAAATTCGATCAAGATTCAGTATCCTCCAAAAGGGAATTAATCTGGTGGAGCAGACTCTTGAAAAACAAAATATATAGTTATTAAGATGTGATGTGTAGTTCTTAAACTATTGAGGATTTGTTGCTAGAAGAACTCGCATGAACAAAACAAAAAAGGGCATTTATCTTGGCAGATGGAGTCATCATCTTACCTTAATCATCTAGTTAATTAATACTAAACCTAAATGACATGAAGCAAGACTCACACTTAAGATCGAGCTAATCCACGTCAAAAAACTTTTGACTTGTCAGATTTTCTTTTTCTTTTTCTTCTTTAACAAAAATTAACTTCAATTATGTTCCGAAGCATCGGATGAAGTTCCTGGACGAGCCTCACTTCTCTTTTTTTTTTTTTTTTGTCATCGTCACTTTATCGAATGAAGTTTCTGGACGAGCCTCACTGCCTGAGCTTATCTTTAACATCTGCTGTTGTTATTTGTACTCGAACTTGGTCTGAGATCTGGCAATCAGAAAGATACTGAACCAAATAGCTTTGTCACATGGAAGCAGCCTTCCTTCCCAGATTGTTACAAATCAACGGATCGAACTGATGGTAGAAAATATCCCCAGGTTCAATGCTGAAAAGCATCTACTCTTCCAGCTATTGCTTAAAACCAATTAGTAAAATTCCCTCATTAGCAAGCACAACCATGTAAAACAGCTATGGATATAGCATAAACAAGCCCTTTAGGCTCATTCGGTTACATATACTTTCCCTGACAAAAAATCTCTATTCTAGTTCAGTTATAATTTGTGGTATGCCAAATAGAAAAAATGGAAGGAAAGAACTAAGCGAGCCAACAGGGTATATCCATCATCTGGCACCAAAATATGCTGATCAATTATCACATGAAGAAAAGTTTCTGTCTGCCAAATTTTCAAAGTTAATCACAAATTCAGTTTAAGCCTGTAGAACACTATGTTGAGTTTGTGTAATTCTTCTGTCCAGTTCATCGTGGAAATTGATGCACTTGGGAAGAGGAGGAGGACTACAGGGAGGGAATATTCAATAAAACTGAATATAAGGAATTAAACCAAGTTCTCAACGTTCAAACAGAAAAGGTGGTAGCTGCCGTTAGTTCTAAATCCAACCGCATTGCATACAATCCCCAGTACTGATACTTCCTGCAACAATACAGGAAACTTTTAAATGCAATATAAGAAGAATAGGAAGATGTAGAAGAATCAGAATAGAGAAGGCATCACTAGGAATGACAAGCTAAAGTTTAAGCAAGAATGCAAATCAACCAACAAAAACAGATTTAGCACCCTATAAATCACCTATAAGAAACAAGACTTCGCTTTGTTCAGTCTAGTCTTTGATGACCAAAATATGATGCATCCTTCCAAAATGCTATTAAAAAGCTACATTATCCTGCCAGTTTTTTGTGCCCCTCAATCAGTGGAGCACCATCAAATAGAGGCTCTGAGTACACTTATAATTCATGTGTTGAAAATTTGACAATTAGGCAGCAATTTTTGTCACCTTTTCTTAAGTTTGACTTAAGAACCTTTTGCATTATCCACTAAATCATCCAATAGCCAAATCAAAATCGAATCTTCCCTTAGTTGGAAAAAAGACTCTGGTACTGTTGCTTTAAGTTGTTTACCCAATCAATTAAATCCTCTGAATGTAGAACATCTTTCAGCTTAACTCCTAAGAGTTCACAAAAACAAGGTGAAAGAAGGAAAATGATACTCAATTGCTACACGAAGATGTAAATTCAGGACCAAATAAGAAAACTTTCAGAGAGGGGGAAAAGAACCCACAAAAAATATGTTGAACAGATCCAAACTTCATCTAAAATATACAGAAAACAATAAAAGAGATGAAAATAGTAGGGAAAAAATTAAAATCACCAAGCTCTATACTGAGCTTTCTCTAAACCGAAAAACAAAACACTAACCCCTAAAAAAAAAAAATCCAAACTTTATCCAAAATGCAGAGAGAAAAATAAAATAAAAAGCCGAAATTTTACAAAAAAAAACAACAGAATCAGCAAGAGCTCTGCTCTGGGATTCTTTATTCATATAAGGAGAACAAAGAAAAAGGAAGAATAAATCTCACCTTTATTCAGAAGCTGCTGAATGATCAATTGCTCAGACCAGCTTCTCTGGGAGTATTTGCCTTGATAGAGAGAGCATGCAAACCAGACTGAAGCTCGTCGGATAAGAGATCATAGACCATACGGTGTCGTTTGACTAGGTTCTGGCCGTCAAATTTGCTAGAAACGATTTTGACATTGAAATGGGTCTCGCTTGCGCCGCTGTCTTTGACGGCTGCGTGGCCGGCGTGCTGGTATGAAACGTCTTCCACCTCAACGACGGTTGCTTCCAGCGCCGATTGAAGCTTCGATTTGATTCTGCTCGCCCTTGAAAGTAACCCTCTTGACGCCATTTTTTAAATACAAGTTAACTTCAGAGCAGGACTGAAATTTACGAACTCGTACATGGAGAGAGAAATTGATGGCTTATCGATCACGAGCAAATTACTGGTAGTACCTTGGTTTTTCAAGATTTCAAGTTTAGGCCTAGTTTGGGGCATTTTACAGATGAGTACCTTCTATTTTTTTCTTAAATAAAACTGAAACTTCCTGTACAGTGGCAAAGCCCTGAAAGTTGAGAATTGGTTTTTTTTTTTTTTTTAAAGAGCAAATTATCTGGACTGCCACTAAACTTTTGCAATCGTCGAGTTTTTGTCATTAAACTATTAAAAATTTGATTTTGGACACTGAAATGTCTAAAGTTAAAACTCGAGACCATTCCGTTAGATTTAATCGTTAAGTATGCCAAATCTAAGTGCCCGCGGGATTCCCAAAGAATAAAAATGCCGAATTTACTGCCCTTTTAATTTGCTCTTTCCAATTATCCCTGCTCCTCAAATCCAATGGCACCAGAATTTTCCTCTTCTTCTTATAAAAATGCTTCCCTAAAACACCTGGAAGCAACGAAAGAACCCTTTTTATCTGCAAATAAACATGTTGTATGATTGATACAGCTTTGGCCTTCCCTCCAGAGTCTTGCAATTTGATTTCAACTTGGATAGCTTGACAACCATATCAATGGGAATATCCTTGGACTTCACCTCCTTTTGACCGAATTCTACAGTAATTTTATATGGGGATTTGATGGGCCAGTCGTCTATAATCAGACAAAGACTAAGGTTATCGTCAGCCAGAGAGTGAAGCGAGTTTATGTGTGAAATTTTGTGGGGTATTTTGGACGAATCTTTTGGTGGCATTTTCTTGAGAGTCAAGAGGAGCTAAATGAAATCTTCTTCTTCATTATCATCTTCATCTTCGAGAAATTCTTACTTTTCTTCTTCTCCTGCAGCTAGTTTATGATGGGTTGTTCTGGAGTGGAGTTTTCTCCATTTTATAAGAGCTTTTACTGCTTTTGTGACTGTTGCTTGGCTGATTCTGTCTTCAAGAGAAAGAGGACTAGTTGAAACCATCGACATAGGAGTACCCGACAGATGAATGGATTGGAGGATGGAGGCTGTGGACGGCGGCAGCTTGCTCCTCCTTCCTCTAACCCAAATTGGACTTCTTCCATTTCCTTGTCCCTCGTTGCAGTAGCAATATATTTTGTGGTTTCATGGTTACTCCTTCTTTTGGTTTATAGAATAAGAAGAAGAAGAAGATACATGTCAAACATCCTAAATTGCCCCTTTCTTTTGTCTTGGAAATCGCACGAGGCAATCAGATCTGACATACTTAACGACTTGTCTTCATTTTAGACATTTCAATGGTCAAAATCAAAATTTTAATTGTTCAGTGACCAAAACTTGACGATTGCAAAAGTTTAATGACCATTCGGATAATTTGCTTTTTTGAAAAATAAGTTTTTCATATACAGTGCTACAATAATACACAAATAAAAATAATTTAAAAAATATCAAAAACACAAAAAAAGCAACCTCAAAAACACAATAAAATAACTTCACAAACACAAAAAACATAAAAATAAACTCAAAAAACACCAAAAACACAAAAAATTACCTAATTTACAGTAAAAGTTTTTTATATACATTGTTACAGTAAAATATTTCAAAATAGAGAAAATCATGTTATTCACTAATTTCATTATTTTGTATCAACTATTCTTTTGTATTTGTTATAGAAACAGCAATCACAAGGAGTTATGTGTAACTTTCTCAACCTTAAGGGAGGTGAATGAAATTATCAGATACAATTATATGAAAATCAGCCCACACATGAATGATGTTGTACAAATGTTGAGAAAAGGAGAAGAGAGATAATAGACAACGTCCAAAATTCGTTGGCCTGCAGATTTGAAATTGGTTAGTATAAAATCCCTTTTGCAAACCAACCACCACTACCACCACCACCACGACGGCTTCACTCCGTCCGTCCTTTTGCAACCTCCTTGCCGGCGCTTAACCTCTTTCTCACTGCTTTCTTCACCAAACCCAGAGCCTCCCTCAATTCATTTGGTTAAAAAAGTTATTGAGAGTTCATCTTCTAGTCTATTTATCAGTGCTACTCTTGAGATATAGAGCAATGTCAGTGATGGGAAATGATACATCATGGGTGGGCAGAAAACCTCTGAGGCGCATAGGAGGGATGTCAGATGCCCTCTCCATTGCCGCCGATCTCGGCTTCTCTGTCGCCCCTCCTCCTTCTCAGGTACCCCACTCACACTCTTATCTATCCAGTTAGTATTTTCTTTAACAAAAAAGGAAAAAAAAAACCTTTTCTGTTGAGATCTTTGGTTGCAAATTTCGACCTTAATCTTTCTAAAACTTTGTATATGCTTGGTGGGATTTTAATTATAGTCAGGATTCATCAGCCAATTGCAAAATTTCCCTGAATTGTTAGACCGTTTAAAATACGAATTTAGACAGAAGTTAAAATTCTTTCGCCGAATTGTTGGACCATTTTATGCGCTTATTCAGCCAATATCAAAATTTCCAGCAGTACAGAACATATCAAGCTGTGCCTTCACTTCATTTGCTGTCATATGTTATTTTCGATGCTTAAAGATTAGGTGCTCTATCGGTGTAATGTACAAAAATTGGGTACATAACATTCAGGGCTTTTTCTGTTTGTTTAATTGTAGTTTTTGTGCTGATTCAGTTTATTTTGGCTTGCATAGGAAGAGATCCAGACCCTATCCACAAGCGAAAAAGGTGATGATTTGGTAAAGGTTTTAAGAGAGCTGACTGCTGTGCAAAGAAAAATCGCAGATTTGCAGGTGGAACTTCAAGGTCGGAAGGTAAAAGTCTTCATTTTTTGCTCCTCACTTGTAACTACTAAGTGGTTGCTTGTGTATTTCACTAAGTACATCTGCATCTCATTTTTTGCTCTGATTTTCGAGTCAGTCACTTTCTTTGTTAGCGCACATGGATGAACTTGGATTTAGGAGTACCATGCTTCATTTGTTACTTCATGGACTGCCATAAGCTCTGTAGTTTACCAAATTCATATTGGTTATTTGGGAGCAGCAGTTTCTACTACTTGGGTCGGCTATTCATTCTGTCCTGGTAAGATAGAGGACGACATGAATCACCGAGGCTCATGAAATTATGAACTTTGTGTGTCTGAAATACCCATATGAAGATAGGTTTCCTTCCTTTTTCAGTCTGATGCTAAAGGATCAAAAGGGCATGTAGTGGTTATCTAGTTTATTGTTTGAAAATTGTTAGTTCCCCAGTGACCAAGGATCGAGAAACTAGAAATTGAAGATATTGCAGCGGAATTATGTGTTGTCTGATTGTAATAGTTCACTAGTGATGCCACTTTTGTGTGAGACTGATTCATCTCCATGATTGCACTAGGAGGACAAAAATGTTGCTCATCTCACCCATGTGAGTGAAATGGAAAAGAAGATTGAGACTTTGTCAAGGATAACTGCCATATTGAAAGATGTCATCCAAAATAAGGTAATGGATTCAGATCTATTTGTTTTGTCACTCATCTCTATACCTGACTGAGAGCAACTGAAGTTTTTAAAGATTTTTATCATGCGCTATGATATCAACATGAGGTCGTTTTTGTTGGTTTTGAATTGCACATAGATATACCCATGCCAAAATTCACCACCCATGATTACAGTAACTCATTGTTATGGGAGCTGTAATTTGTCAAACTCCCTGATGGACACTGTTGCTACTCAATTGGAATGTCTCCTGCTTTGAAATGCGTGACAGTTCACCTTGTGTTAAGAAATAAATTTCTGAACTGTCCTGTGGAAGCAGTTCTCATGGGCACAGTTGTAACCGCAGTCTATACAGTTCTTTCCTTGTGTTATTCAGGACAAGTCAAAAAATATTATTCATTAATCTTTCATCTCTATCTAATTTCCTTGCAGGATCGCATAATAGCTCGTCTTCAGCAGCCATATTCATTAGATTGCATCCCAGTTGAGGCTGAATATCAGGTTTGTTTGTTAAAGTAGATCACGAAATTCCTTATCTATGTTCAAGAAATTTGTTTCCTTGTAAAATCTCAAGCACCCAGTAAATATAAAATGAATTTAACACACTTTGCTCTGCATAACAGTGATCTTGGTTTACAGAAGTGACGGATACTTAACCTGCTATTGTTTTCTTACCACAAAATTGCTTAAACAGTCAGATAATTGTTTTTCCTTCTGTGCTACCTTTGACAGAAACAATTTTCAGAACTCTTAATGAAGGCTGCAAGTGACTATGGCGCCTTGACAGCATCCATTGCAGATTTTCAGTGGACACAGAACTTCAAAGAACCTCCATCAGTTTGGGGGGTAATTCTATTGTAGAGATAATATTTTCATTTGGGTCCCAACCTGGAATGAACTCAGCATTTTATGCCGTATACTTGTTTACTGTTGAACATATAACCTCTTGAACAAGCCATGTTACTTCCAAATTTTCTATACTTTTTGTCTTTCAGATAAAAATTAAGGTATTGTATAATCTTTGACTACAGGAGCAAAATTATGTTTTTATTTTGTGTAGTAAACTCTTTAAGATTTTCATTAAATAAGTGAGATCCATGTAAGTGTTTGCTGCTACGAACTTGAGATGCAATACACTCTTAGCCTTGCAAACGTTAGATTAAATAATGGCCTTGAGCATAGGAGAAGAGCATAACCTTGGTCATAAGTATCTCTTACCCGACCATAGTGATGTTCTTCATGTTTAACTGTTTGAACTACCTGGAATGCAACCAATAGCTTAGCTGGTTCAATGCAGGAGATGCTTCGTCCAATCCCTGTTGCTTTAGCTTCATGCACACGATTCTTTGAAGCGATGTCAGCAATGAGAGACTCATTTGCCACACTTCAGAAGTTGAGAGTGGGCCATTCTTCTTCCTCCGCTATGGCACCAAATGCAGATTCGTCGCAAAGGATACCGGGAGATTCTGATTGTGTAACTCCTCCCTGGAGAACTGAATCAAGACTTGAGGACTTAGCTTCCAGAAGTCCGGCAAAGTCAGAGGTTGATCGACAGGAAGATGATGATGAAAACAGTGAAGTGGGGGAGAATGATCAAGTTGATGGAATTAGCCGCAGGAGATTATCTTGGCCACCTTCAGTCAAACAAAATGGTCTGTAGTCATAGCACGTTTAACTGCTG